TCGCTCCCCTCTCCCTCTCTCTTTCACTCCTCGCTTTTATCCCTTTCCCTTATCTTTCTCATCCTTTCTCTCTCTCTCTCTCTCTCTCTCATCTCTCTTTCCTCTCTCTTTCCTCTCTCCCCCTCTTTCTCTCCTCTTCTCTCCTCCTCTTTCTCTTTCATCTCTCTCGCTCCCCTCTCCCTCTCTCTTTCACTCCTCGCTTTTATCCCTTTCTCTCTTATCTTTCTCATCCTTTCTCTCTCTCTCTCTCTTATCTCTCTTTCTCTCCTCTTTCTCCCCCTTTCTTTCCTCTCTCTCTTTCTTCTTTTTCATCCCTTTCTCATATCTTTTTCATTCTTTTTCTTTCTCGTCTCTCTCTGTCTTCTCTTTCCTCTCTCTTTCATGTCTCTCCCTCCTCTCTCTCTCTCTCACCTCTTTCCTCTCTCTCACCCCCACCCTTTCTCTTTCTCTTTCATTCCTTTCTCTCTTATCTTTCTCATTCTTTTTCTCTTCTTTTGCTCTCTCATCTCTCTCTTTCTCGTCTGGGCAGGAGGCGCTGCGGCAGGAGCAGGAGGCCGAGCGGCACCAGCTGAGGCAACAACTGAGGCAGGAGTGGGAGGATCTGCTGGCCCAGCACGAGGCCGAGAAGGAGGAGCTGAGCGTGGAGGTGTCGGCGCTGCAGCGGGAGAGGGACGAGGACCTCCTGCTGGCGGAGAGCGAGAAGCAGCAGGTGAGGAGGGGATCCCCTCAGGCACGGTGGGGTAGCAGAGGTTGCCAAAGGGAAGGTTTTTCTGGGGAATGGAGACAACCCCTTGGTGGGATTAGGAAGAGGGGAGAAATGCCAACACCTCCGCCCACTTCACCCTGTGCTTTACAATCGGCAGTGGCGTAAATGCTGCTGACGAAAGAGGTAAGATGTTGGCTAGAAGCCTTCAGGGGGGCTGGAAGCTCAGTTCTCACAAGACCAGAGCAAACTGGTATAAATAAAGAGATCTGAATCTGCCCGGCCGTGAGCATCACTGGCCTCCCCCAGCTGGTCCTCCCCTCTTTGGAAGTGCAGTGGTGGTGGGGTGCTTTCTGTCCCAGCCAGGGAAGCTCCTTGGGTG